TTATATCATCCAGAAAATGAGTTTCTTTTTCTTTTCCAATTTGGGTGCCTTTTATTTCTCTTTCTTGTCTTTCCACTCTGACTGCTGTTGTTCTTGTTGTTGTTATATGCCGTTGCATTGGACCTGACTCCTAGAGACCCGTCCTTGGGTTTCTGAGGCAGTATCACTATGGAAATAGATTGCCCAACCAGGAGTACCTGGTGACTTTGAACCACCGGCCTTCTGGTTAGCAGTCAAATGCCTGAGTACTACACTAAGGAGTGGTGACAAAGGGACACCCTTGTGTGGTTCCCCTTCATATATGGAATACATTCAGGCTCTCTACCTTGAAAATAATGCTGTAATGTTGGTCTTTGGTTTTGTGTATATGTCTTAATTATTATGTTGAGGAATTTCCCTTCTGTTCCTATTATGCTGACTTTTTTTTTTTTTTTTTTTACATCAAGAATCAGTGTAGGATTTAGTCAAATGTCTTCTCTGCATAGATTGATATGATCATGTGATACTTTTAATTTATTTTGTTCATGTGCTTGATAATGTTAATAGTTCTAATAGATCCTCCTTACATACCTGGTATGAATCCCACTTGGTCATGATGTGATACTTTTTGATATGCTGTGGGAGTGAGTCTACAGACTAGGTTGTTTGTTTTGTTTTGTTTGAGAATTTTTACACCTATGTTTATGAGGGATATCGATCTATAATTTTCTTTTTTAGTGGTATCTTTGCCAGTTATTTTTGTTATCACAGTTATGCTTGCTGCATAGAATATATTTGGGAATATTACATAATTTTCTATGTGCTGGAATTGTTTCAATAGAATTTGTATCAGCTCTTCTTGGAATACTTGGTAGAGTTTGGGAGTGAAGCAGTTTATGACCTATTCAATTTCTTCTTTTGTGATGAGGCTGTTGAAATTTCATACTTCAGATTGTCATAGTTAAGGTAGGTAGTGTGTTTCAAGAAACTTGTACATTTCTTCTAGGCTTTCAAATTTTGGGGAGTACAATTCTCCATAGTATTTTATCATCCTTTTTATTTCATTTGGTTCTGTTGTGACATAGTCTATTTAATTCTTATTCATGTCATTTGCATCTTCTTTTCCTGACTTGAAGTTACCAGTGTTTTGTCAATTTTTATTATTTCATATAACTAACTTCTAGTATTATTAATTCTAGTGATTTCTGTTTTATTTATTTCTGATGTAATTATAATATTTCCTTTCTTCTGGTGACGGTAGACTTTTTTTTTTTTTTTTTTTGCTTTGTTGCTGTCATCATTTACAAATTGGCCACCCTGGTTCCCTATATGCATGATTGTAGGTTTATTGTATTTTTGTCTTTATCAGTATTTAGGAGCTCTGGTGACATAGTGCCTAAGGCACTGGACTGCTAACCAGAAAGTTGGTGGTTCAAATCCACCAGCCACTCCTCAGAAGGAAGGTTGGGTGATCTACTTCCAAAATGATACCACCTTGGAAACCGAAGGAGGGGTCACTATGAGTCGGAGATGACTTGGCAGCACTAACGACAACAATCAATATTTGATCTATTTCCATATCATTTTCTTTAAAGCTCTGAATTCCTAGATTGTCATCCATATCCATTTCACTTGGTTTCGTAGGTCTTTGCTGTAGTGTCTGGATAGTATATTTGCCTAATCTACCATCTTTGATTCTTCCCTCAACAGTTACCTTATTCATACAAATACATATATACACACACACATACATACCCAGAAATGTATTTTTGATATATGTGTGTGTGTGTGTGTGTGTGT